GCTTTCTGAAGAAAGTAAGCCATGGGTTCTCAGTGAGTTCGAGGTCAGCCTGATCTACAGAGTGAATTACAGGACAGTACTGTTACACAGAGAAAACCTATCTAGAAAAACCAAAAAAATAATAATAATAATAATAAAGCAGTGGGCACACAGCTTAGTGGCCTAGGATGTGCAAGGCCCTGGGTTTAATCCCCGATGTTGACAGAAAAGGCTGAGGGTGAAGTGAATCTTTCCCAAGGGAGAGACATCACCTGAGGCTTTAGGAGGAAGAGGTAGCTCTGGCTGAAGGAACAGCTTTGCTGAGCTGTGCTTGCTGGTTTTGGAACATGGTGGCGTTGGTGGGCAGTGCTGTGGGAAGGGTAAGCTGGGGTCAGGTGGCCTGTCACCGCTGCCCCCTCCTCAGCAGAGCCCTCCAGACCCTGCTCACTTAGTTCACGAAGCCCTGCGATGCTCAGGGAAGGCACGGCGTGGCATGGAGGCTGGCAGCTTCCAACAGCGCAGTGATACTCCAAGGACAGCTACGACGATTGAAAGTGCTTAGGGAAACGAGTGCAGGGGAGCTCTGCGCTGTCACCAAGACTTAACAGGGCCAGGCATGGTGGCACATGTCTTTAGTCCCAACACACAGGAGACTAAGACAGGTGGATCAAAATTCAAGGCCACTCTGGTCTACATGGCCAGTTCCAGGCCAGCCAGGGCTACACAGCGAGACCGTATCAAAGTAAGTTTCAGAGAAATATCCCAGGTAACAAGTGGTGCTTCAGTCAAGCCTGAGGACCCCGACACCCGAACCTGCTGCCCGCTCTCCCCGCCACTGGGCAAGCAGAGACTGACGTTAGAAGCCGGTCAGTGAGGACTGGGACTCTAGTCGTCATACACCCCATGGGATCTCCGTCAGTAGGTGGTGCAATTGGCTGTCAGTCCATTACTGTAACAAGCATAAGACACCTTAAAAACGAGAAAGTTTATTTTAGTGCATCTTCAGAAGTCTTAGCCTGCTTAGTTGATCCTGTTGTCCTTTCTCTCTCTTTCTTTCATTTATTTATTTTTATTTTTAAATTTAAATTAGAAACAAGGCTGCTTCACATGTCAATCCCACGTCCCTCTCCCTTTCCCTCCCCTCCCCCCCACGCCCTCCCACCAACCCCCCCAGCATCCCCTCCTTTCCCCAGGGAGGGTGAGGCCCTCCATGGGGGTGTCCATAGTCTGTCATTTCATCCAGGGCAGGGCCTAGACCCTCCCCCCAAGACACTCATTTATTTTTTGAGGCAGGTTTCTCTGTGTAGTCCTGCCTGGCTGGCCTCCAACTCACAGAGCTCTATCTCTGTTTCCAGAATGCTGGAATTAAAGCCATGCATTACCACACCCAGCTTGTGTGTTTTGTTTTGTTTTTCCGAGTCCACACTAGCCCCAGACTGACTCTGAAGCCCATGGCAGACCTCCACTGTCTGGTAATGTGAAGCCACTGCCCAAGCCGTTAGCACCTGGGCCCTGGAGGACAGTGCAGACCCACCTGAGCAAACACCAGTAGCACCCAAGGTCTCACACATGCGTACACACCCACACCCACACCCCCAAAAAGAAAGGAGCGACCAAAAACAAACCTTAGGTGACAAGCATGCGAAGTTATTTTCCTTGGGCCAAGCAGGACAAAGCCAGCGTATCACTCATGAGCCATTAATTACCCATCCTCACTGTCGGGTCTCTCTGAGGGTTGTGGGTTGCAGCCCTGTCCAGTGGCTTCCCCTCCCCTCCCCCACCCCTTCTGCCTTTCTTCCTATGGGACCTTCCAGGGTAAAATCCGCTCTCCTCTAGTGACTTGACTCTGTCCCCCTGATGCCGTTCCTGTGTCCTGGAACCTCCCGCAGTTCTCCAAGTGCAAGGCTCCACCACAGTGCTCCCTGTTCACGCGCTCTGTGCCCCACTTTGGGAACAATCTTTGCCTGTCAACCGGACTGTGTCCCCTTGGACGTGACCCCATTCTGAAGGTGCTTTCAGAGAACTGACTCTCCCCATGGCTGAAAGTTACCAAGTGGGTTCCTGGGAAATTTGGGCTAGAGAAAACAAAGCCAAATGGAATCGGCTTTGTCTGTCTGTCTGTCTGTCTGTCTGTCTTTTTCTTTCTTTTTCCTGAGACAGGGTTTCTCTGTGTAGCCCTGGCTGTCCTGAAACACTCCACCTGTGCGATAGACTAAGACCTGTCTCAAAAAACCCTGTATTCCTTGGCCTTCTTTGTCTTAGGTTTTCAAACATGAAACAGTTGTAATTTGGGATGCTCCCTGGGTCGGTTTTGGCAGTGTTCAGTTAAAGATATTCTTGCTGTGAGCTGGTCTATCTTCCTGCTTCCGTGCAATACCTGTTTTTGTTGTTGTTGTTTTGTTTACTAGTTTGAGAAATGCTATCTCGAAAAACCAACCAAGCAAACAAAAAGATTAGGTTGTAGGCAAGCCTGTAGGGTATTTTCTTCATTAGTGATCAGATGGGAAAAGGTAAAGCCCGTTGTGGGTGGTGCCATCCCTGGGCTGGTGTCCTGGGTTCTATAAGAAAGCAGCCTGAGCAATCCATGAGGAGGGAGCCAGTGAGCAGCACCGTCCATGACCTCTGCATCAGCTCCTGCATCCAGGATCCTGTCTTATTTGTGTTCCTGGCCTGATTTCCTTTGATGATGAGCAGAGATGTGGAAGTGTGAGCCACATAAACCTTTTCCTCTCCGAGTTGATTTTTGGTCAGGGTGTTTCATCGCAGCAATAGAAACCCTAACACACACACACACACACACACACACACACACACACACACACACACACACACACACACTAGAGAGATGGCTCAGAGGTAAGAGCACTGACTTCTTCCAGAGGTCCTGCATTCAATTCCCAGTAACTACATGGTGACTCACAACCATCTATAATGAGATCTGGTGCCCTCTTCTGGCCTGCAGGCATGCATGCAGACCGAACACAGTATATATAACAAATAAATCTTTAAAAAAAAACCTCATAAACACCCCCCCCACACACACACACACAAAACAGAGTCTAAAACTGGAGCAACTGCTGGCACAGAGCTGTCCACAGAGACTCAGTGGCCAGCATGTTCCGTGTCCTCTGCCAGAGGCTGACCGACACTGCAGGGCCAGAGGCTGCTCCCTGCCCCTCCTAGCTTATCAGGGTTCTGTCCTAGGAATGAGGCCGGGCCCTGAGATCCTGCCCCTTTGCACACATTCACAAAGGAGCCTTCCAGACACCCGGATGTTTAACTACAGCCGGGCATTGTGGGGCATGGCTGTCATCACAGCATTCTGCAGGTGGATGCAGAAGTCTGGAGAGTTTGAGGCTAGCAGCCTCGGTGAAACCTCCGAGAGTAAACCAGCTGGGTATGTGGGCAGCCAAGGGAGCCCGGCCTCTAGTCTCATGCCTGTCCCGACATCCCTGAAGGTCTGACAGAAGCCTGTGGTGTGTTGTCTCTGCTGAAGGTGACAGCAGATGCCTGGGACTTGCAGACTGGGGGCATCTTTGATTCCTCCTATCGGCCCACGCCTTCTGAGGCGAGAGCTTGTCAAGGTTCCCATCCATCCCACGCCTCCCTGTTGGGTCTAACCTCCACACCTCATGCAGGGTCAGAGGAAATGCAGGCCCAGCCAGACAGAGCAACCCACTCACAACACCCTTGCCTAGGTAAGTAGGAAGTGGGTCTAGCTCTGGACACCTCTCAGCTGTCCTTGGGGCTCCTCTGCAAGAACAGGGCAGCCTGTCTCAGTGTCAACCGTCTCAGATGGCTTCCAATCCAGGCTGGACTCTTCCTGTCACTCGTCACTCTCTGGTGCAGGGCTCCAGGTAGATGCACATAGAGTATAATGCACACAGTAAGAGAAGATTCAAGTGCAGAGAATACAGGTGTGTCCAGCTGCTGTGATGGCATCAGTCTGTAATCCCAACACTCTGGCAGGTGGAGAGGGTGGGGGGGAGAAGGTGTGAAGAGAAGGAGGAGGGGGAGGGGGGAAATGGTGGGAGAGGGAGAAAGGGGGCTAGCTCAGTTAGTAGAATGCTTGGCTATAATGCCAGCGTTCGGGTGGAGGGCAAGAGATCAGGAGTTCAAGACCAGTCTGGGCTGCTTGAGACAGAGGTGGTGCTAACTCCCCTGGGCATGGTGACACATGTCCACCCAGCACCCAGGAGGTCCACAAAAAAACACAAGGTTGTCCTGAGCTGCATATCGGGTTCCAAGCCCCCCAGGGAATGATACATAGTGATACTTTGTTACAAAGTTATATCAAAGTTATATTCTTTTGTTATATCAAAAATTAAAAATTGAATGCCATAAATTTTTAAAAAGATTTATTTGGTTTCTATGTGTTTTGCCTGTGCCACCTGCTTGTTCGCGGAGGTCAGAAGAGGACGTTGCATCCTCTGGGAACGGTTGTGTGCATCTCGCGGGTGCTTGCAACCTAACCGCATCCCTCTGTAAGGTGGTAAGTGCTCTTAAACCCTGAGCCATGTCTCCAGTCGAAACTTCATCTTACTCAGATTTCTCCCTTCTGAATAACCATCAGACCACGACAGCTCAGAGGAGCTTAACGTTCGGACCACAGGATGTGCTGGGCTCCAGTCCCACGCCGTCATTTATTTCGGCTTCACCGCAACATGCTTTGCAAGTGGGGACAGGAAGGAGGGAGTCCCTCGGCTACGGCCTCTGCACCCGGACCCAGCCCAGCACGCCAGCTCTCGCCGAGACCGGGTCCCTGGGATGCGCAGCCCGGAAAAGCGCCGCCGGGTAACCATCCCGCCGCGCGGCCCTCTGCCGCCCCCTGCTGCCGCGGCGTGGGCACTGCAGGCCCGCCCACCCGCCTCCGGATTGGCCAGGATGCAGACTCGGGCGCTGAGGCCCCGCCTCCCCTCCGGGTTCTTTGATCACGCGCCGGAGGGCTCTTCCGGGGCCGGAGCCAACCCACGGTGCTGCTGTCAGGGCTGCACGGCGGGAGGTAAGGCTCGGTCGGGTTGGATGGGCTGCAGCGCGCCAGCCCCCGGCAGCTCGGGGTGCCGGGGTTCCAAGGCGCCCCGGTGGGCAGCGACCCCTCGGCACGGCCACCCTTCCCGCCCAGCCCCGTGGGAGCCACCTTCTGCGGGCCAGCACCCTAAGAGCGGCCTCATGCCCTTCCGGTTCGGGCCCCCCTCTGCCTCAGACGGGAAGCTCGCGACTGGGAACCGGCGAAACTGGCCCACAGACACGGGGCAGTTAGTCCGTGCCTCTTCCTCTGGGGATCCGGGACGGGAACTTGGGCCGTCTTTAGTGCTGCCGCCCAGGATCGCGTCGTTTCTGTGGATGGCAGCCATCCTCTCCACCTCTGCCTGTCAGCTCTGGCCCGGAGGGGAGGGACGTGGGCGGAGCCCCGGGTGTACTAGAGACAGGTGACATCATCTGGGAGATAATGTCCATCTCTGCAGGATGCACACTAGTCCCTGAGACCGAAGCTGAGGGCCGCGTCTAGGGTTACATCGGGGACCAGGAGGGGTAGAACCCAGGCCTGGAGCTGCGAGCCTGTGGTGTGGGGACGGAACCAGGACCCCTTCACCGGAGTGCAGGGCCCTCCTGTCTAGCCTCTTCCCTCCACCCAGCCTTGCGCCGCCGGCACCCAACGTAACCCCCAGTTGACACCTGCAAATGTCTAGCAGGCATCTGAGCTGGGCCACACCCTCGTGTGCAGAAGCTCTGGGCAGGAAGCAGGCGGGCCCGGCTGGCATCTGGGCCTGCCTACCCTGAGTGCTGGGAGCCACGGTTACCTGGGTGTTCCATCCCGGTGTTCCACTCCAGCTCCTGGGGAGGGATACGAACCTGCTTGTCACCATTAAGTACAACTGATAACCTCGCTTCCTCCTCCCCAGGGAGCCCAGGGGAGGCGCCCTCCTGAGGCCACCATTGCTCATGCAGACCACTCAGCCATCTGGCTACTGATGTCATGAGTAACACGACAGTGCCCAATGCCCCCCAGGCCAACAGTGACTCCATGGTGGGCTATGTGTTGGGCCCCTTCTTCCTCATCACCCTGGTCGGGGTGGTGGTGGCTGTGGTAAGGAGCCCCCACATCAGACGCGGCTAAGGCAGCTGCTGGGTGGGCCTGGCCTGGTGCCCCACAGCATCCCGGCTGTTCTTTGAGGGAGTGGAAAGTGGGCCCTCAGGACGGGCCATGCTGGCCTCCCCGGCTCCCACAGCCCCGTGTCTCTGTTACAGGTGATGTACGTGCAGAAGAAGCAGCGGTGAGTGTCCCCTTTTTCTGGGCTCCGGCTTGGCTTGGCTAGTCACCGGAGAGGCCCTTTCATGGCCCGGGGGAGTCTCTAGCTGGAGGGAGGGGAGCAGACACCAGATGGGACAGGAAATGGGGCCTGGGCTGAGCCTCACCCTCCCATCCCCTAGGGTGGACAGGCTTCGCCATCACCTGCTTCCCATGTACAGCTACGACCCCGCAGAAGAGCTCCACGAGGCTGAGCAAGAGCTGCTGTCCGACGTGGGCGACCCCAAGGTGAGAACGTGGGTGGGCGCTGCAGCTGTAGACTGTCCCGCCCCCACCGGACCAGCCAGGCGACAGGGCATCTCTGTGGCTTTGGAGGCTGTCCTGGAACTCGCTCTTATAGACCAGGCTGGTCTCGAACTCACAAAAGATCCACCTGCCTCTGCCTCCCGAGTGCTGGGATTAAAGGCGTTCGCCTGGCCAGCCACAGTCTCTTGCCTCCTCTTCCTCACAGGTGGTGCGTGGCTGGCAGAGCGGCTACCAGCACAAGAGGGTGCCCTTGCTGGACATCAAGACGTAGACTGGTCATGCCGAACCCCCCATGCTACCCACCCAGGCGCAGGGCGTCTACTGCAAGCAGCCCTCCGCTGGCCCCGATGGCCCCTTTTCCTTGTGGAGCGGGTGGCTGGGTGACAGCTTTGCTTCCTCTAACCTGCTTGGACCTCACTTTGGCATAATCCAAGAGGCCTCTAAAGTTGTTCCCATGGTGACAGGCGCAGATGTATAGTATCCAGTGTATATATTTTGTAAATAAACTTTTGTGGCTCTAAGTTACTCTGGCTGTGCGGGGTAGGTAGGGCAGCTGCTGGCGCCATCTTTTTACCCCTTGATCGGTTTATGCCCTGCTTACTCCCACCCCACACCACAGACTCCATCCAGAAAAGGCTTTTTTTATTCAAGTAACTGCAAATAGGAAACCAGAGGGGGGGCCCCAGGCCGGGACAAATACTGGCCACCCCTCCCCCACAGAACGAGGGGAGAAGGCGGTCCCACACCCTTTCCCCATCACAGCGGCCTGCCCCCTCACTCTGCTGCAGCAGCCAAGGGGCAGGCCCCATCTTCCCGGGGGTGCTTGGTAACCAGCCTGCTGCGCCCCGGCCCCCTCCCGCTAGAGTGTCTTGGGGAGAATGCAGGCAGAAAGGGAGGATGAACTCTTGGCAGCAGCAGCAATGGTGGATGTCTAAGAATGAACATTGAACAAAAAAAAAAAAAACAACAAAAAAAAAACCAACAACACAACTGTCCAGAGGTAGTTTGTGAACAGAGGAAAAGATGAACCAGAACCTTGGGGGGAGGAGGGGAGAGAGCAAGAGGAGGGGACAAGGGGAGCTCCTTGGTGTCCAGTGGAGGAAGGGGAACAGCCCTAGAGTCGGAGTGGGGGAGGTGAGTTAGCGCCCCATCTGCCTCAGGAGGACGGCACCCTGGAGGTGGGTGGTTGACTCGTCTGTGGCTGCATTGGGTCCCAGGTGAGAACACGCTGGGTGTGGCCATTGCATCCTACTTTCTGTAGCCATCCTAGGGCAGGGTCTGGGTTAGGTGGGTTAGCGGTGGCTGAGAAACCCACCCGGTGAGTTTGGAGGGGGCGCGCATGCTGGGATCCAAGCATCCCAGCACCGACCACACCCGCTGCTAGCTAGGTCAGTCAGGGGGGCTTGACAGAACCGAGAAGGGGCTGGGGCCCTTCAAGGCCAGGGATGCTCCCAGGACCGTCCCTCTACCAGGAAGCCAGGGAGAGCGCAGCAGAAGGGACCTGCCAAACCAAAGAGCCTAGAGAGCAATGTCTCTAAGGGAGGTGCGCAGCAGGACAGGCTGCGGCTAACCGGGAAGCCAGCCTTGTCGGGAGAGGGCATGTGTGTCGGGGAGGGCACTTTGGCCCCCGTGGGTGCCGCAGAGCCTGCAGCCAGTGCGGTAGTGTGCAGTGGGGAGGGGAGGGGCCTGGGAGCAGGGTTCCAGTCCCGAGGGAGAGCTGCTCCTCTGGTGGCCCAGGAGCAGGCGGCACTGCGCGTGGTCACTGCTCCTCCTCCGAGGACTCCTGGGAGATACCCTCCTCTTCCTCCTTCTCCTGTGGGAGGCAGAACGACTCTGGGCCTGGCCCTCCTTCTCCGCCAACACCCTCCCTCCCAGGCTCTCTCCTCTGCAGAAGGGGGATGAGTCAGGGCTGAGTGTGTGGGTGACTCAGCAACCTCCACGCTGCTTTTCATTCATAAAAATGAAGGATTTAAAGGGAGGAAAAAAAAACCACACACACACACTTGCTCTCACAGGCCAGACCAGGCACCTAGCCCAGGCCTACACTGAGGGCTGAGGAAGTGGTAAGCTCTCCAGGGAGGAGGCAGAAGGGCCAAAGACAGAAACAGAAGGGGAGCCAAGCCATTAGGCGGCGGAGGGCAGGTGTGGGGCTGCTTAGATGCCAAGGCCTGGGGTAGCCAACGGTGATCTTGTGAGCCAGCATGGGAAGGAAGTGTGCCCCAGGGGCTCACTCACTGGATGGGAATGCTGGGACACCGCAGGGCCAGGCCAACTCCAAAACAACTAGTTTCCTGTTACTCACTCCTGGGGTCTTGGCAGCAGGGCCCCCTAGCCCCTCCACTAAGGGGTGGCTCAGCTCAAGGAATGATCTTGCCTTGGAAACAGGCTAAAAGAACAGCACCCTGGAGGCAGAGGTCCCTGCGGCAGCCCCCACGCAGGAAGGGGCCCATAGGACATGCCTCCCTGTCCAGATCTCACTTCCTGGTCTTTCCTAGAGGGTCCAAATAAGGGGGTGGGGAGTGGACCCAAGCACCTCTCCCATAGTGGCATCTGAAATTAGCAGTGATTTTTCTGGGGCCAAGGGATCTTCCAAACTGAAGATAACCCCACTCTCACGTTAACAGGTTTCACGCATGCTCACCACACACCCCTGGCCACGCTGGCCGAACACTTGACACTCCCCCTTCCACGAGAACCTACCAGTTTCTTGGGTCTACCCCTCGGTTTCCTCCCTGGAGCTGCGGTAGCTTTCTAGAGTCAGAAGAAAAACAAAAAATAAAAACCCACTCAAGTTCACTGTACAACAGCGCTCAACAGTTTCCTCAAGCCCCGTGTAAGGGGTGATGGGACGGGCTTGGGGGAGCCCAGGTCCACCAGCAGGTCCAGCCCACGCCCCCACACCCAACACACACACCCCTACGCCCTCCACAAGTGACTCAGAGGATATGAGTCGTGTGTTAAAAAATAAATAAAAACAAAGACTGCTTTTTCGAAAGGCTAATGCCTTTCCCGAACGCTGTGTGTCCTCAGGATGAACACAAGGTGTCAGGCCCTTCACTCTATTCTTGCCTTTCACAGACCTGAAAAGCCTCAACTCCTAACTTGGTTTTCCCACTGTCCCGGGCACCCCAATTTCCACCATTAGCAGAGACCCCGGCCACCCCTGGCATGAAGGCATAAGAGCCTCACCCGCGTCTTAGCAGAGCCCTTGTTTTTGCTCCCCTTTGGTCGGCCCCGAGGTCTCTTCGGTGTTGGCACTTCACTGGGCTCCTTCTGCAAAGGAAGGTGCGAGTCAGACACGGCAACACCCAACTGCGTCCCTACGAGGTTGTTACCCCCCTGACCTAGGAACCCCGGGGAGATGGAGCAGGCGAAGCCCTGGAGATTCCAAACCTGCCTGCCCACCACCAAGACAGGAAACCAGAGACCTCTGAGCAAGATGTCACTGGGGCAGGGAGGCACTGTCAGGTGGCCCTGATCGACTCTTAATTATCAACACCAGCACTCAACAATCTGGGCCAGAAACGTAGCGCATGAGGCCATCCTGGGCAAACTGTCTCAAAAGAAGCCAGCCTTGGTCCAGTGGCCACCACCAGGTCCAGTAATCGGGACACCCTGCCACCTCCACAGGGCCACCAGCCTCCCTCACTCGGGAGACAGCGGAGAGCTCCGAGGTGAGCCAAGCAGGTGGCACAGCCAACATGTTGCTGACCACATACTCCCAGGGACCTCACACGGGGCTTCAATGCCCATGTACAGAGCCAGGGGCAAAAAACAAAAAAAACCCACCCCCCAACACAGGAGCTCTTTCCCACCTGACATGATAACAGAAACGGATAGCAAGGATATAGAAACAGGACAGCAACTTGACAAGACCTGGATCACCAGAGTGAAACCGTGCATGGCGACAGGCCAGCAGAAGAGCCCAGCCCTTGGCTCCATTCTGGGCAGGGCAGAAAGAGTATTCAAATATTGTTCCGACGGGGCCTGGCCTTGCTGACTGATGACCCTGTCTGCGGCCCACATCACTCTCCATACTGGGATGCTGGACACCAACCTCTTCCGGTGGTCCTCAGAGGCCACCCGCCGCCTTCGGGCCACGAGCACACACAGGATGGACGCACACATGCAGACGCAAGGGGACAGTCGTGTATGCCTCCCTTGCGGCCACACCCTGCCGGGGTGCCAGGTACCCCCCCCCCAAGCCCAGGAAAGGAAGCAGAAGGAAGGCTCAGCTCGAGTCACCCTCCTGACTCCCTACCAGCGCCGTCCCAGGACTCACCGGAGGCTGCTTGCGCGGCCTACCCCGGCCTCGCTTCTCCGTCCCGTCCTTCTCCTGCTTGGAGGCCAGAGGCTGGCTAGACTTTGAGGTGGACTCGCTCATCTTCCTCCTCCGCGGGGCAGTCGGGGCCACTGGCTGTGATGCTGGGAGACGAAGGGGCTGGTCAGTTAACACAGGTGCCCCCACCAAGCCCCCCACCATCCCGAGGCCCTCGGCTGTAACCGCCGGCGGCAGAAGGCCCCTGTCCAGTTCACCGCCAGGGTGGCACCTGAGGACTGCAGCCCACGCCAGCCCTGGCCGGAGGGGCGGGGCCGGCCTGCCTGGGGCACGAGGTGGCTCCTCCAAGCCTAAGGAACCAGAACAGATGTCAGAGCCTGGCACAGCCCCAGGACCCAGAGGTGGCGGCAATGGGCGGAGGAAGGAGCCGAGGGCTGTCCCTCAGCAGTGCCTGGACTTGCTTTGAGAGCAGCTTCAGGGAAGGGCAGATTCTCAATAGACCCTTCCAACTGAGACTCTCTGGTAGCAAGGCCCAAGTCCCCAGGTCCAGAATGACAGAGAGACAGAGAGAGAGAGACAGTGTGTGTGTGTGTGTGTGAGAGAGAGAGAGAGAGAGAGAGACAGAGAGAGAGAGAGAGGGCCTACACCCTGTACTTAGGGATCTTCCTCTAGAGAGATAAAAAACAACCCAGTCACGACCAAGTTTCTGTCACAGGCCCAGGAGACTCCACTCCACACTTCTTCAGGGACCAACACGGCGTGTCTCCAATGAGGGCAGAAACCAGTGGCCCACTCAGTGAAGGATAGGGACACAGGAGCAGTCCCTGCAGTCACCACACTGGTGCTGTGAGATCAGGCTGAGGTTGACCCTAGTGCCTCAGTTTCCCGGCAGCGCTCTTACCAAGGAAGCTGTTACCTGAAGCCATTCTCTCAGACTCCCGAGGCAACTGCTAAATTTTGATCCAAAGGCAGGAAAACATTTCGGAAACTTGTGATTTTTAAAACAGTTAACGGTTCCTAATTCCCAAGCATCAAGAGACTCTCCAGATGGTGGGACTCTGCTAATTATTCTATTACAATATTTCAAACTTGAGACCCCTTTAAGCAGGGTGGCTGGGCCAGCTCCATCATTAGTGGCTTGGTCTGTTCTCTAATTACAGGCCGCGATTAGAATCTCACATTGCACCACAGGTCTCCTTCAAACCAAACATCAAAATTAATCAGCTAAATGAGCGCTGACCTCACACTGAGGTCCGCCGGAGGCTCTCCGGAGGGGGGGCCATGGGGGAAAGCCGGCCCCAGTCCCAGAGACCATGGGCCCAGCTTGCCTGGAGATCCTGGCCCGTCCCCCTGGACACTGTTATGCCACCTGGTGCCCTCCCAATCCTTACTGTTTGGGACTCTTTGAAGCACCTGCTCCCCCCAACGCCCCCACTGAACTGTGAGCCGCGTCCCTGTCCAGCGAGGCCAAGAAATCGCTCTTCACTCCCACCTGTTTCTGAACATCGGGAAGGCCTGGCTTGCAGGAACCACATTTAGGGTCCCCAGCCTGTGTCCTCACAAGGGCGCACACACGGTGGCCCTTCAGTGTTTACGGGAACTACGCAGGGAAAACCAGAGAGATAATACACTGGCAGGTCCATTGTCAGTTGCTCTTAACAGCTCAGAGAAGGCCCAGCAGCGGCCCAAGGTCACACAGCAACTTGGTAAAATGGAGTAGGCTCTGGCGGAATGCTTACAGACCGACACTTTGTTCACCGAGGAGAAAGCAGGTCAAGACCCTGGGCGCCCTCTACTCCAGACGGAGGGTGCCTCCGCTAGCGTCCCGGCCGGGCCGTTGTAGGCCGACGAGTCCAGGCGCTGGGGCGAGGGGGAGGGGCGCAGGCCCTGCAGGCGCGGGAAACGGCGCACCCCAACCACATGCACCGCCACGCGGGTGCGCCCGGACCCACTTCCTGCCAGAGGGGGCACCCAAGCCCGCCCTGGGGGCAGGAAACCTGGTGCGAGCTGGAGGAAGAAAACCCCCAACCTCCTTCCCCGAAAACCAAAACCCCAAGAGAGGCGGGGGGAACAAAAACAGAAACGGGGAGTCGAAGGGACCAGTTCTAACAGAACCCAGCAAAGCAGAGGAACCAGTTTGTAGAGGGCGGAGGGCAGGCCCGGCCCTGGGGGCTGAAGAGGCGCGGGGCAGGGCCAAAGGTGTGTGGGTGAAGCCCCGAAACCCAGGGCCTCGAGATCCGGCCTCGTCCACGCAGAGCACTCACTGCCCAGGCAGAGGCCGAGGAAAGGCCAGAGAGGGATCGCGGGGCACCGGGCCCCTCCCCCGCACTTCTAGAACTTCCCTGGCTGAGGGGGGTGCGCGCCCCCCTCCCGCCGCCGCGCAGCGCGCGCCCCTCCCCGAGGCCGGGCTCGCGGAGCGCGAGGTGCACGGGCGCCGCCGGGTGCACAAGCAGCGCTCGCCGCAGCCGCGCGCCCCCTCCCCCTCCGCGCGCCGCTACCCGGGGTCTCCGCACCCCACGGGCGACCCCGGGGCCTGGGGGGAGAGGTACCCCGCAGGACGCGGCGCTCTGCGGAGGACCCACCCGGGCCCCGCCGCCAGCCCGCCCGCCTGCGCGCACAGTGCGGCCTCCGCTTTCCCGCGGCCCGCGCAAGCCCGGGGCCTGGGAATAAAGCGGGGCAGCGCGCGCCGCAGGCCCCCCGGGCGCGCCGCGGACACTCACCGCGAGCTCGGCAGGCCGCCGGCGGGGCGCGCTCGGGGCTGCCGGTCGCGGCGGGGCTGGGCGCAGGGGACCGGCCTGGGCTGCTCCGCCGCCACCGCCGCCGCCGCCGCCGGTCACAAATGCGGATCTGAAACCGGGAGAGAGGGCAGAGGCGCTGAGACCGCTGCGTGCGCGCCGCCCGGGCCCCCGCCGGGGATGTGTCACATCCGAGCCGGGGCGAGGGACCACGGACGGAGCCCGCTTCCCCCCGGAGGATGGCGAGGGGGCAGGAAGCTGGGCACGGCCCGTGCGCGGCCTCAATAAATAATAATGTGATTAGATTCTAGACCTAGAGGGGGAAAAAAAAAAAAAGAAGCCACCCGAGCGGCGGCGAACTCACGCCTTCTTGGAGCCGCGCCAACACCAGAAATAGCCCCGACTCGGAGTCCCAATTAGAGGAGCGCAGCCCCGGCTCAGGGGAGCTTAAAAAGAGCGACCCAGGGGCAGGGGGGACGGGCCCGCCCGCGCCAGCCGTGTCACCGGGGGGCGGGGCCATGCAAATGAGCCCGGGGATTTAAAAGGGCGGCCGGCCGCCGCCGCCGCGCGCGTGTGGGCTGCCGGTGCCGCGGAGGCTGCGCGCGGGCGCGCGCGGCGGGGGCGCGCGCCGACGGCCCTCGTTTCTCGCAGTCCCCGGGCGGGCGGGCGGGCGGCGGAGGAGCCAGGGAAGGTGGCGGCGGCCCCGCGGTCGCCCTGGGGACACACCTACAATAGGCGTCGGTGGGCTCCGGTCCCCGCGGCGCGAGGGCTGGCGCTGGTGCCTGCGGGGGTCTCCGCCTCGGTCGACGGCCTCGCCTTAGTCCCTCGCCCCGGCCCGGCCCGGAGGTGGCCTGTGCGTCCCTGCTGGCCACACGGCCCGTGCAAACCACGCCAGCCCAGTGAAAACCCAAACGTGAAGCTCGGCCCGCGCGAGCGGCCGAAGTCTAGTAACGGCCGCCACCCAGGTGCCGGCTTCGAGGGAGCCGGGCGATTGGCTCGTTCGCAGGCGCCCGGGGTGGGTGGGTCGGGGGGAGGAGCCACGAGGTGACCGGCTGCGCGGCGTTCGGGAAGCACGCGGCCCCGCCGGTGCGATCCCCCTCCTCCCGCCTCCCCTCGCCGTGCGGGAGGCCGGGGGATGCCAGGAAGCACCTTGAGGGCAGGGGTTCGAGTTTCCCGCCTCCCCGCGCCCCGGCTCAACAAAAGACTTGTTGCTGGGCCGGAGGAGAAAGCCCAAGTGGGAAGATGGCGCGCGGGGGGAGCGGGCGGCGGAGGGACGCGCCCTGCGGGCCCTGGACGCACCTCCCCACCTCGGCCCCCGGGGCGGCCTTTCCACACCTCTCGTGATGCAGAGAATTGCAATGCGGGGCCCAGTGACACACGACCGTGACTCATAGCTCTGCTCCCCTTCCTCCGCGGTCAGCCCTCTCCTCGGGGGGCGCCCGGGCGGGGGTGGGGGGGACGGGACGCGGGGCCCAGCGTGCGCCCGGCTGGAGGCGGGGTGGGAGCTGGGGTGGGGGGAGGCGGGCCTCCAAGTTTCAGGAATGCCTCAGGAATGTTTCCGGTGGGGGGTGGGGAGCGCGGCGGGCCCAGCCACCCCCCCCACGGGCCGTGGGACGGAGCCCCGGGCGCGGGGCAGCACGTGCTCGACGCGGCGGGAAGGCGCGGGAGGCCCGGGCGTGCGGGGTCCCGGACCCAGGTCCCAGGTGACCCTCAACTCCCGAGGTGCCACCGGAGGGGGAGGAAGTCACGGCGGGGCGGGCCACCGGGTGGAGGGGAGCCCAGGGCGCCGGGGCAGTCTGGGGGAGGAGCGGCTGCCCCTTTGTGTGCAGCCGCTGTGGGGGCGGGGCGGGGTGGAAGCGCGCCGCGCCCTCCATCTTTGTGCCCCGCGAGCGAGCGGAGTTGGCTGGAAGAGCACGGAGTTGGCTGCGAGCGCTCGGGACCTTGGGTAGCGAGGTGTGGTTGAGCAAAGCTATCAGCTCCCACCAGCACGTCTTCCCGTGACCCAGGTCGTTGCCAGCAGCCTGGGCCACTAGGCCCTTGCTTGTGTTGGAAGAGGGAAAGTGTGGAAATGGTCCTCCAGGCTCCTTCCCCCTACGTAGTAGTGAGTCCTTCGAGTATGACGCCAGTGACCTGTGGTCATCCCCAGGGAAAGAAAGAAATGGAGGGGAGACAGGGAGATCCTGTCCTTCCTGAGTGGGCTTGGGGAAAGCTTGGCCAACTGCTTGGCCCACTTCTAGTAAACTGGTGTGATCTTACTTTTTCCGCTTATTTCTCTTGGTCCTGATTTCCTCACCGCCTTATTTGCATCCCGGATGTATTTTTGTAAGCTACTTAAGATCCCCTCTAGAAGGACGCAGGTATAAGTAAATGTGTAGGCAAATAAACACCTTAGTTTGCCCCACACACACAATGGCTTATCCACTCCTGAAATACAGACATTTCTGCCCACTGACACCCGACACACAGCACACACACCTCCATGCTTGCACGTGTCCTGGATTCCATTCCTTTTGTATTAAGGTGTAGGAAGAGTGAATGGCGGTGGGGTAGAGAAAGGAGACTATCCAACTTCACGTATGTAACAAAGAAGGCAGGTAACAGACCGGGCCAGAGGCAGTCAAGGTTGCAAACCTCTTTGACTTTCAAGTTCTTGAGGTACAGTGAGAGATCAAAGTTCTCAGGAGTCTGGACGTGTGTTGGCGGGTAAGGACAGTGGGAGCTCCAGGGAGCCGCCTCCTGAGAAGCGGCTTTCCTTGGATCCGGAGAGTGTGTGGAGCAGGTTCTGCGGGTCCCACAGGCCAGAAGGGGCGTGCATTCTGAGGATGAGTTGTCCTCCACGGTTTTCTCTCAAGGACAGTGAGGTGACCTTCAGAGATCCCGGGACAGCTGACTCTGAAGCTCATCTGTTAGAACACATAGGTAGCGTCACTTAGTTCGGGGCCAGTTGTTCCCCCAAAGGGCGTGGCATGTAGGAAGAAGGCAAGATGAGGCGTTGTCTTAACTTCCTGACCAAACCAGGTTACTGTGGAAAGGGAAAGCCTGGAGTATGACCCTGGGTTTGCAACTCAAAACTTCAATTAAAAAAAAGACTTTGGGCCGGTGCCCAGGCAGAGGCAGATGGGTCCCCTGGGCTCCAGACAGCCTGGTGGTACTCAGGGCTGAGGCAGAAGAGAGTCCCTGGCCAGTGGGGGCCATTGAGAAAGACCCTGTCTGTAAATAAGCTGACAGAAGGGTGGAGGTGTGCTTGGGCTCCCAGCACCCAGGAGGCCAAGGCAGGTGATTCCCCTGAGTTTGAGGCCAGCCTGGTCTACATATGGAGTTCAGGGCAGCCAGGGCTGCACAGGGAGAACCTGGGGCGGGGCGGGGGAGCTGTCGAGATGGCTGCCTCAGTAAACGGGCCTGTGGCCAAGCCCGATTATCTGAGTTGCATCCTGGGATCCCAGATGGTGAAAAGGGAGAAACGACCCCCACAAGGTAATGCTCTTGAGTTATGTGACCCCCACATATACACAGAAGAGACAAAATAAATAAATAACCTTTATTGACCACTATATGTGCACTGGGAGACTGAGACAGGGGGATTGCCACAAGCCTGGCAACCAGGCTGCACTATTATGGCAAGTACTTGGCACTGCAACATGACATTAAAAAAAAAGAACAAATTGC